GCCCCGTGACAACATTTTGAAGCCATATTCTATGGTTGGATGCCTCATGACATGCTATAAATTATGCATCTATAGTAGATAACGCTATAATAGACTTTTTAGCACTCCTCCAAGACACAATTCCCCAGCAAGAAGAAAAATAAAGCCTGAAATAAATTTCATACTATCTTGGCATCCAACAAAATTAGAGTCAGTATATCAAACGATCTTAGGTTGACCCAACCTCAGATATGTGATCGTGTAATCCTTTATTTTCTGGAAGTACCTTAAGATCCTTTTCGTTATTTTCCAATGATCTAATCTTGTTTTACTCAAATATTTGCCAAGCACACCCACAATGTACGCTATATTCGAATGCGTACACACTTGGGTATATATAAGACTTTCTATTGCCGAAGCATAAGGAATCTTCTGCTTTTCTTTTTCCTCAACATCATTCTTAGGGCACTATTTGAGATTAAACTTGTCTCCATTAACAACTAGGGTATCTCCTGATTTGCAGTCTTTGAGAAATATTTTCGATATAGATCTTTCGTGATAAGCCTTAAGTACCCCGAGAGCGATCACGGTGTATTTCTATTCCTAACACAAAAAAGGCATCACCAAGATCTTTCATCTCAAAATGCTTAACTAGAAATATGTTGGTGTCGTGCAGTAAGCTTATATTATTGCTGGCAAGCAAGATTTCATCGGCGTACAAAACCTGAAATATATACTTACTCACATAGAACTTATGGTATATACAATCATCAACCAAGTTCATCTCAAAACCAAACGAGATGGTCACTTGATGAAACTTGAAATATCATTGTCTAGATGCGTGCTTGAGCGCGTAGATGGATTTATTAAGTTTGCAAACCATATTCTTATAGTATTTGGACTTAAAGTTTTCTAGTTGCACCATATAAATCAACTCGTCAATGTCACCATTTTGAAACACAGACTTTACATCCATCTACAGTAACTCAAGATCAAAATGCCCCACCAGTGACATTATAATCCTAAAAGAGCCTTTTGGAGAAACTAGAGAGAAAGTTTTTCTATAGCCAATGTTTTTTTTTTTCGTGTAAAACCTTTTGAAACAAGACAAGCTTTAAATTTTTCACATTGCATCTTGAATGCCTTTATGTTTTAAATATTCATTTGCAACCAACATGTTTCCTAGCTTCTGGCAAAGGGACGAGTTCCCCATCACATGGCATCTATTCTTTTTTTTTCTTTTCAAACAATAAACTTAAATAAAAAAACTCGAAAGATACAAGGTTCAGTAACTGACAGATTACGAAAGTCCCAATCGAGAAGAACCTCAACAAAGGACTTAAACAGGGGAAAAGACAACAAGTCTCCCCTAGCACGGCCATCACGGCTAAGAACAAACCAACTAAAAGAAAAACAACACTAATTAGCAACCAACTTAAAACAACAAGAAACGAAAGTAGTACACAAGTCATATATGTCCTTAGCTAAAACAAACAGATTCGTGTCTAAGGAAGCCTTTGAGTTTAGAGATTTGGCCAGATTTCTGTTCTGCATAAAAACCACCACCTCTTGCCACCCTTCCTCTGCTCCTTTGATAAGCCAGTCTCTAATGATCAACAACTCCTCTTCCATAGGAACAAGATGCTCCTCACCAACTGACTTAGATCACATGGATATAAGAACTCCTTCCCTAAAGGCCAAGCCTCTCAGCTCATTATCAGATGCAATATCACTAGTAGAACTGAGAGCAGCCATCTGCACCCCTACTCCTTGATTCATCACACTCACTGATATTTCTGAAGCTCTTCTCCCCTAGCTTTCCTTCTCACTTTGGTTTGTAATGGAGCTCTCAAACTCCATCTACTCCCACCTTGCCTTCTCCACTAACTGTAACTCAGACATGTCTTCCTTCTAAACAATCCAACCGTTTCTTGTTTTCCACATCCACCATAACAAGTATGTAGTAGAGAAATTTCATCCTTGTTATGGTCAGTGGGTTTTATTGTACATATATCACTCCACCACTCCTTCTTTGTCAAGTTTGTCCCAATGCGGACCAGCTAGCTTCTAAACTTTTTGGGCTCTAACACACCTAAACATCACGTGCTCTAAAGTCTCTTATTGCTCACCACACCAACAACACATAACATCATCTCCCACTCCTTTTGTTCTGAGCATCACTTTTGTTCCAACCCAATTGTGCCAACACCGCCATATGAAATTCTTCACCTTCTATTTAATTTGTAGACTCCAAGAAGTTTTCCACATTTGTTGCACTTCTGTATTTCCTCTGCTAGACTTTATCACTCCCTTTGCTTCTCTTTTGTTCTGTCTGATGACTGAATAAACTCTTTTTACTGTGAAAAGTCCTTTCTTATCAGGATGCCAGACCAGTCTATCCTTCACAACCCTTTGGCTAATATGGATTTTCAAGATACTTTCAGCATCAGGTTGACCAAAAGTTTGCAATATTAGTTCTTTATCCCATTGCTACCCACATGTTACCATAAGCTCAGAAATTGTACTCAGCCTCTCCCTATCAGCACCAAATGAACATAGAGGTTTAAAGTTAAGAGAATCTGGGATCCGAGGGGAATACCGGATATTAATAGAAAGACCATTTCCCACCTGAAATCTTAAACCTAACTTCAAGGAGTTCCTAGCCTCAAGCCAACACTTCCACATTCAAAAATCACTATTCTAAGTTTGTTCCAATTAGCCCAGTGGATTTTATCCCCACCCTCCCTATTTTTACCCCACCAAAAGCTTGCCATGGCTCTACAAATATCCTTACCGGCAGCAACAGAAACTCTGAACACAGACATAACATAAATGGGCAAAGCATTAAACACTGTTTTGATCATAATTTGTTTTCTTGCCTCACTCAAAAACCTATTTTTCCAACTAGTCACCTTACTATCACACACTCTTTAACAAAAGCAAAGATCTCTTTTTTATTTCTCCCAATAATGAGATTTCGAACTTTTCCATGGCTTGATGAAAGTTGAGAGGATCATCTTCCATCATTCTAATGTCAACCTTATTTTCTTGGAGAAACACAATATAATGATTTGGTATTCCAATTTTTCTTTCTTTCGTGGATCTTCTTAATGGCATAGGTTCTTGAGATTGTAGAATTTGTTCAAAATGAGGTTCTCTGACATTGTTCGGATTTGTGTCCTCAACAATGATAGGAACAAAGCCATGATCAATGCTAATAACACTTGTGGTAAAATCAACACATTCCTCTTCAAAGACAACGTACCTAACTTCATCGCCCCCTGCAAACTCAACATCCTCAAAGAGCCAAGCATTTACATACTCAAAATAAACTTATCTGTGGGATCATAAAACTTATACCTTCTTGATCGTTCATAATATTCAAGAAAATAACAATCAATTGTCTTTGCATCCAGTTTCCTTTCATTAGTTCTCTATGGCCTAGCCTCAGCCCATCACCCTCAAAGGTGAAAATGTATTAGACTAGGGTTTATTCCTGTCCAAAGTTCATAAGGGGTCTTATTGCTTAGTTGGAACACTATTAAGGATAGGCGCTGCAATCTTTATTGTTTCCCCTCAAAGTAGCAAAGTGGAGTGACTAATCATTCTCCTTACCATATCCTTAAGCGGTCTATTTCATCTCTCAGCAACGCATTCATAGTGAGTGAACTCGGCATAGTGTCTTGTGGGGCGATAACGCATTCCTCTAGGAATTTAGCAAACGGTCTTGGACGTTGTACACCTGAACCATCATATATATCGTAATATTCACCACCACGATTAGATCTGACGATTTTAAATCTTTTGTTGAGTTGATTCTCAACATCTGCCTTATAGGATTTGAACAGGTTTAGCTTCAGCGAATCTGCAACTTGCCTGGTGAACTCTCTGAAATAACAATTTTGATTTTCCATTATTCCCCCAACTTCATAACTAATGTAAATGTTGTTATACCACTCTCCATTGTAATGCAGAAACACTATAATTGTCAACCTTTTCCTGCAAATTAATTCACGAAAATCTCACCGAACACTACAAAATTTGGATTGGCTAAAAAAAATCACAAGATGCCACAGTTACAAATTGAGTATTATGTTAAATGAAAATAACATTGTCTACCTTAAAACAACTGATAATATTCAAAAGATGCCTTCAATCTCCCCGATTGCTAGAACTACAATCGCCGTCGACGTGAGATTTGATAGAAATTCTTCACGTGCTTGACATTAAAAAATTTCTACCTCGACACGATTTTCACATTTCCATAAAGATTTGTTACTTTCTGTTGTGGATTCTTTAAACCATTTCAATTTTAGTAGCATTACTTTCATACCAAAATGCACGAGAGGATTGCGGGGAAATTAGTTAGAGGATTGCACAACAATTTTTCCTTCTATTTATTGTAGAATCGTAACTTTGTCTAATATTTAATATGTGGCCACAAATCAGCAGTTAAAAATTTAATCTCATTTAAATGACATAGATGTGAGTTAGTTAAAAATTTAATCTCATTTAAATGACATAGATGTGAGTTAAACACATGGATGCGTCTTTTTGCCTACAAAATATTGAAAAATATTACAAGTACATAATAAAACACTCACATGGAGTGGGGTCCACTTATTTTTTATTTTTTTATAGGACTCACTATACGCATCTATATACTTATAACATTTTCTAAATCACTTTCTTCACAAAAAAAAACCTAAGTNTCAATTCTGATCCAATGGTTTTAAACAATATAAATCCAGTCAATACGTCCCGCTGTAAACGACATATCACAGTGATTAGGAACTCAAGAAGAAAAACCCAGAGCCGAAAAGAGGGCGAATTTAACAAGTATCAATCAGTTTTCAGCGAACGGAATCCTAATCTTTACTTTGGTACGTTAGTTAATGTTCGTGCTTCCTTTCATCTAACATAGTGTACTTTGTGTTTTTCTTTTATAGGTGTTGTAAACTCTCATCTGTTTACTTGAACTTGATCGGTTTTTCACTTAATTCGTGGTGGTGAATGAAAGTATGGATGGAGTTCCGGACAATGGAGGTGAACCGGTGGTGATTGGAGGAATGGTGCTTGACATTAATGCCATCCCTTCTATTGCCGCTAATCCCAGAACCACTACTCCTGGAAAGGTGTAGTGAGTCTCTCTCTCTCTCTCTCTCTGGGTGTCGGTGTGGGTTTGGGTACTTGCTGGATTTGCAAATNTCTCTCTCTCTCTCTCTCTCTCTCTCTCTCGGGGTGTGGGTGTGGGTTTGGGTACTTGCTGGATATTCAAATGCGAAGTAGCTCAAGCTCAACTACTGTTTTATACATTTTATAATGTGTACTTAACTAGTTTATTGTGACCTTTTGGATTTTGTTTAAGTTACGAATTCGTACATACTATTCGATTGTTCAATCTCATGTGCTCTTGAAAAGTTTATTTGAGTGGTGATAAAACTATTACGATAGGCTTTAGTTATTTTGTTAAGATATCTTTGGTTTGGTATGATCTTGATTTGGTAGTAGTTGTTTTGGTAATTAGATATTTGATTTGCTTTGATCTTGATTTGCTTTTGATCTCTTGCAACCTCTATTGGATGTAATTTCACTATTACAAGCAATGGAAAATACACATCTTTCTCTTCTCTACTCTATGATTTCTCTCCTAGTTTTAACATGGTATCAGAGTCATGGTTTTTCACTTGTTCTGATTAATAAATATATTTTTTTCAGTCATGTCTTCTTCTCTGGACTGCTCTCCGGGCACGGAAAAAAAAAATATTCTGGTTCTTAGATGGTTCAATTCCTCCTCTATTAGATGGGTTCTTAGAAGATTAAATACAATTGATCAAGTCCTTTGTTCTCTATCCTTTAGTCTTTCATTGCTTCGGTCCTTCGGTCCTTTGGATATAAAATACAATTGAACAAGTCCTTTGTCCTCTGTCCTTTAATCCTTCATTCCTTCGGTCCTCCGGTCTTTTGGATATAAAATACAATTGATCAAGTCATTTGTCCTCTGTCCTTCAGTCCTTCAATCCTTCGGTCCTTTGGATATTAAATACAATTGATCAAGTCTTTCAGTCATCTATTTGTTTGGTCTCCTGATTATGTTTCTACCAAAGCTCAGCTAGCTGACATCTTCATCAAAGCATTGGGTGGCCAGGATATCTCTGAATTCGTAAAGCAAGTTGGCCATTCGAAATCTTCATGCACCAACTTGACAGGGGGTATTAAGATAGGCTTTAGTTATTTTGTTAAGATATCTTTGGTTTGGTATGATCTTGATTTGGTAGTAGTTATTTTGGTAATTAGATATTTGATTTGATCTTGATTTGATTTGCTTTGATCTTGATTTCCTTTTGATCTCTTGCAACCTTTATATATTGGATGAAATCCGTATAAATGCGTCTTTCTTTTAGATATGCTGTCATTTATATATTTTGTAGATTTAACCAACATGTTAATCAAGTTACTGTGGTATGAATTTCTCTTTTTTGTTGTTGAAGTTCTTATTGAGTGATAAATATTTTCAGTGGCAGCAGAATGCAAGACTTCAATTTGGTTTGAGCCTGTATCTGTTGCAAAATCTAAAAGAATTGCTTCCTTTGTAGAATATGTAAGTTTCAAAATCTCCTGTTATGTCTCTGAAACTAGATCACTAGTTTCTTCTTTTCTTTTTTTCTTTTTTTTTTTTTTTTTTTTCAGAAAAGCTTCCCTAATCTTCTTTGCATTATAAAAAATTCCAGCTATCTTCTAGAGTTGTCAATACTCCTGTACTTTTACAATTGTGCAAATTTCCTTCTTGGTGAATGGATAGTGTTAAGTGAATGCAACTTCAAGGGGTGTCTGTATATTCAAGGATTATATTTTTAATTCTGAAAAAAAACACATGTTTTTTTCTTAAATCATGTCACACTTCAGTAGTAATTTTTGTAACTATGCGAATTGTTTTTCCACAGATAACTTATACCTCACCCAATGAGGACGAGCTTGTAGCCATGGCAAATGCCCTTTCTTCTCGAAATAATTTCTTACCAATTCAAAGAGATTCAAATAGTTTTGACTCATCTATTGGCTCATTATTTCAAGTTCTAAAGCCTCCAGCATGGGTTCTGCTTGAGAAAGGTGTTAAAGTAGTAATTGTGACCCTCGGACCACAAGGTGTATTCTTGTGCTTCGAAACAACTAGCGGACTGAAGAAACAAGATTGCAAGAAAAATGAACCATTTTCTTTTAGTAGAAAATTATACGAAGCTATAAATTTAACTTGCCCTGCCAATAAGATATTAGGCACCCTTGAGTCGAAAGGGAGCCATAATATAGCTGTACATTTCCCTGCACTATCTGCCACAGTAGTTAGGCTTACGGGTGCTGGTGATTGCTTGGCTGGCGGTACACTAGCTTCGCTGTGTTCGGGTTTGGATATAATGCAGAGTGTCGCAGTTGGAATAGCAGCAGCTAAAGGGGCAATTGAAAATGAAAACAATGTGATCCTATAGTGTGACACAAAAACGGGGGGAAAAGAAAAGCAAAACACGGACGAAATAAAGACACAAAAATTGGGACAAACAGTGTGATCCTATAGGCCTTCATATCTTGACATAAATCTAATTTATTATCCTTACGAAACTCCTAGACTGTGTTGAATGACGAACTCAAAATATGAAGTACGTTTACATGTACAAGACAAAAAACCTTCAGTGCAGAACTCAATGGTAATACTGTTCCTTCATTCATGAACCACTCGATTAAGCTTAAGACTTGTGTTCCAGTATAGAAAACATGAGTGTTCTCTCAAAACTATATCCGAGGAATGAAACCTAATCTTGGCTCAACTATCAATTCCATGTATACCGTGATCACCCCAACATAAGCCCATATCTACCCCATAAGGAGCGTAAGCATTGGACTAGGTCTAATTAGATCACTCTATACATGAATTGTGTATTGACCTCAAGTCAAATGACTACTACACCATTACACACATCGATACTTCAATAGACACATAAACAAATGGTTTCTCGATAGGGTGTACCAATACTCTCTAAAGTATCCATGTATCAATCACTAATAACCAATATTCATAATTGTGAGACATACTATATATTCTCCAGGAATGTGATCACATGTCAATCTAGCGCATATAATTAATATCCCTTTCATAATGATTATTTATTGAGGCAATTTGTAATTTATCAATTTGCGTCTTACTCTATTAATGACAGTAACTCAAGGCAACAACGAATTAATAAACTGCACACAACCCAACAGTTATTTAATTAATTGCATTATCATAATTATAATCAAATATAATATTAATGTGATCATGTATACATGTCCTCAAAAAAAAGATTATCTCTAGGACATATATACCAACAATCTCCCACTTGAACTAGAGTCAATCACCAATGTATCTAATATCCGTTTTCCCAAAATGACTATTGTACTTAGCTATGCATAATGGTTTAACGAACGAACCAGTCAAGTTAGGTTCAATTTGAACACGTTCTACCATTTTTTTCTCCTTTATCAGTTATCTCCAAAGTAATTATAGTGCATTTGCACATGCTTATTTTGTTGTTGGGTCTTGGTTCTTTTGCCCGTGCAGTTGTGCCGATTCTTTCACGATATGTATATATTAGATAAATGGCACTTGGAACTACCTCTAGTTCATTTCAGAACTCATGTATCTAGACAACCTCCATAGGCTTTTAATGCAACAACATACTTGACCTTAGTGGTTGAATCTGCAGTACTTTATTACTTGGAATGATTCCAACTCGTAGCCTCACATTGAAATGAATGTATAACTATTAAATGATTATTCCCACCATATAATAACATATATATTCTTTAACCCACCTAATTTACTAAAGAATAGTCTTAGCAATCTTTCAATGTACTTCCCTAAGATTTTATTGGAATCTGCTAGTGATGCTAAGTGCATAATCCATATAGACCTCGAACATGTTGTTGATATGTGAATTTGTATCAAGAACTATGTATGAATCAGAAAATAATATAATGGGATAATAGGGATTTTCTAGTGAAATTATGAAATTTAGACTTTAGATAGATCGACCTCTGAGAACTTCGAAGTTGGCCGCTACTCTTTAGATGCCCGAATTAATTACGAATGATCATTGTTTATTAAAATGAATGTAGAGAGAGAATTTCTAGAGAGTTAGGAAGATTTTTTCGACCAACCCTCAATAAATGTAACATAGGACTATTTATAGCTAAACAACCTTGACTATTGCCCATCTACTATTCACCAAGTCACCTCGCACAGTAAACAAGAATGACATGCATTAAATGAGATATGGTTGGTCTTAAGTGATGATTATCGCCATTTAATGCTGATTGACAGGCCTTTAATGAGGACATGCCCCCCATATGAGTCTATGAGTCATAGGTTTGCAGAGTTGGTGGGCACATCCCATCGGTCATCATTGGATTGCAAGTTGCACTATTTTATTACTTCCCGATTCTGAGTGTGCTTCGAGGTCCAACCTCCAGGATCTCCGAGGTCAGACTCCAGCCTCGCCTTGAGGTTAGGTCTCTTCCTTCTTACCATGAGCTCGGACATCTTCTTGCTTCGAGCTCGAATTGTCTCAATGCCTTGCTTGTTTTACTGTTGTATGCCTATTTCCAGAAATAGACCACCTACAACTGGAGGGGCCGAACTGGACGTCGGGTCTAGGAGGACCGACCTAAAAGCTCTGCTTTCCACGATAAGTTATTCCATTAAGAGTGTTAAGCTATGGATTTATACTTTCCAACTCGGATGCCAACATACAGACCCTCGAGCTCGATGAAAGGGGTGTGACATTTCTTCTGAGGTCATCTTTCTTAGAGATGACATATGGGTTGGCCGAGATCTACCCTCAATAGGACGCGTGCATCTAAGTCGCACAGATTCTCAATGTACTGTGACGTAATATGAAGAGACTCACATTAATTACGACGTGTCTAAAACGCGTGGGTTTCCTTTCTGAAAAGTCGTGTTGTTTTGATCGCCCATCCACGTGGTGTTGAATCTGACCGTAGATTCATTTTCAAACTTTTGAATGCGAAAAGTTCAGTTTTTTTAATTTAGAATGTAGACAGGTGGCGTTACCTATTTTGTCGGGCCTTCCGTATATATACGGGGCTTTAGAAAATTTTTGGAGCTCCGATATTTCTAGAACAAAAACCGACTTCCACCATTAACGAGTTCTTCAAGCTTCTGTAGACTCCCTTTTCTCCAATGATTTTTGTTGGTGAAATGGACTTCATCCGAGCTCTTTTAACTCGGACGTCCTTTGTACCTACAAGAACCCAACACCGGGGGGTCCCAGTGTCAGGCCTCCGATGTCTAAGTCAGAACTCGCTGCAAATCAAGAGTGCAAAATGAGAGTGTAGTAATGAATGTAGAAAGAATGAGGTTTTGAGATACCTTAGCCTCTTTTTATAGGGTTTGTACCTTAGTACCCAAGTTGAGTTTAGCCCATACCATTATGTCCTGTGTCCTAGCCCATATGTGAATTTATTATCCAATATATTCTTTTTTATCCATTAAAGTCGGTCTAATATAATATCTCATATCAAATATAAATAAAATAAGAGAACTACAAATACTTTAATTCTTAAGGTAAGGGGAAGTTTTGTAGCATAACTTTGGAATTCAACTTATAAAATACTAATGTAAACGTATAAATTTAGTGTACAATTAGAAAATTTTGTTCATAGTTCTCAACTTAAAGATTGTGATGTCACTATTGCTATCACTAATGGGTTAAATTCTCAAATACTTAGAATTTTTTAGAAACATTTCGAAGTGCTACTATAACGTACTTTCTGATATTTACTATCATACTGCTTAACTTGTTGTAAGTAAATGTGTATCAATAATGTGAAATTTTAACGATATTTTTTGTTAGTGATCCTGACAAACACGACAAACATGTAATAGACATGTTACGAAGATAATTAAAATATTATTTTTTTCATTTAATACACTTTGTTACATTTTTGTTAAATTCGTCAATAGTGAAAATTGTTTTCTTAACCAGTTTCAATTTCACACATATTATGATATTATATATCAACTCACACTTCCCCCTAATGTAATATAAGACCTAAGCTACGACAGCTCCTCGAGCAAGCTAAACTTTTATTATATGAATTGTTTAGAGAAACAAAAATCGAACTCAAGAAAAATCCAACATCATTTTCTTCTAATGCTTCCAAATTTTCCTTTCATAGACAATTGGAACAAGCAATGCAACAAGCTAAAAACATTGGTGACTTGTGGGAGGACAATATTAATCCCTACAAGAATGGTAAGATCAAAAGGTCAAAAGAGACTAAATACATCACTACCTCGTGACGAATTTGACTCTTACGATTGCTTGTGAACCAATTCAGCCACAAAATTATACATATTGGCTCAATGGTCAAAGATAACTCTCATTTATCCTATTCTATGCTTGATTGCCAAAGGGATTATTATTGTTATTTTCTCAACAATGGAGATTGAACAAGCATTTAGTGAGATAAAATATACGTTAAACACCCGGAGGTACCCACAAAATATGTAGACTCAAATGCTATTGAATAATTGAAAAAAAGACCGAAATGAGGACACAAATAAGTGAAATAACTATGCTAAACCGACCAAAAAAGAAGACAACAATTCCTACAACTACGATTATTTCATCAAGATAAATAAAGTAAAAAACTATAAAAGCTTTAATTCTCAAGGTAAAATATACATAAGCAATTTAATTGACTACAAAAATTTAATTGACTACAAGTTAAACATATCATGTTAAAACAACTTAATTGATATTTTAAATTGTAACATATCAACTAAACCCAAATCTAAATTTTTTAAAACTCACGCCCTCTCCAATCTTTTTTTAAATAAAAGCAGGCACAGGCCGAAATCAATTGAACCAGCCCAGAACATATTGAAATCGGCGACAGACCAACGGTTCATTGAACCAGCACAAATCTAAAGAAACCACAATTTCATTTAGAATTATTCCAAATAACTAATTATTTCAAAATTTCAATTATATTTGAACTCAACTTCCATTAGAACAAATAAAATAAAATTATCAAATGATATAATTATTTTAAATCAACTTTTTTCTACTAAAATAATAAGAATTTTCTCGTGTGTTTGAATAAGGCGATTTCAACCGTGTTGAATCTATATGGCCTTTAATCACTGACATTATCCGCTTGTCAAGCGGATTCAATTTACCATTCGATCTGCAATCAGTTCATACAAATTAATAGTATGAACAACATTTTTTGTTGACTTGTCAGGGAAAAAAAGGAGCGTTTTTCCTTTTAAAACAAAGGGAAGAAGGAAAGGAAAAAACAGAACATCAACCTGAAAGAAAAAATGCATAATAATGTATGGCAAAGCTACTATTAAACGCCGTCTCGAACATTAGTTTAAAAACGGCGTTATCAGCGAAACTCCCATTGATTGATTTGGGCCTCCCATGAATCAGATAAGAACCAAATTAACAGCTTATCTGGGATTATGAAGGCGCCACCAACTATCTAGCCAGATTTTCAACAATAAGAATAATATTAAGGACAAATCAAATGCAAAAAGGAATGAGCAAGAATAAAAATCAAACGGCAGGGGTTGCCGCCGCCGGCGATGTTGATCCAACTTCGCAGATGTAAAATAACATTAGTTCTCTTATTTATAAAGATAGGCATGCTGGGAGTGGGAGCCCTAATTCGACCATTATTTAATTTATTTTTAATTGTCTTTGCTAAAATAAAAAAGACAAAGAAAATGATATGCCCAGTTCAAGTGGAAGCAGGCAGGCCCAATGTAACATTTTGGGTCTTGCAATTAAATCTATTGTTGGCTCAGTAAATTTGAGAGCCCATGGCCAAGATTGGATGATTGCGTATCTAATGTCAAAAAGTCCAACTCCAATGTCCACATTCCCTCACCTATGCATAATTTTAGAACGCTCAACGTACTAAGCTTAAGTGATATTGGAAGCTTATTTGGCGATAATTCATGCTTTGTATTGACATATCTACAGTAATGGTTATGATAACTAGGTTTGAAAATTACCATAAATTATCTCACATTGATATACATTATTTTTACATGTATTTTAGAGTGATTTTCGTGTCCGTTTCATCGTAATTTGATATATATTATTATTTCATGTAATTGTTTTATAATGACGAAGGTGTTTTATTTTTTAAGTTTTCATAAGGTCGGAATAATTATAGTTGTCAAAAATGGCGAGAATCAGCTGCAAACAGTGTACAAAACATGCATTAAGACGGCCCAACACACAACTTGGGTACAAATTTGATATGACTTGCTATGTATTTATAACCCAACTAGTGTGCATCCCGTGCGATGCACGGACGGACTATTACTTAAAACCTTTTTAAAATTTTATTTTAAACATAATTATTTACATTTAACATCTCATTATTGCAACAAAATAAAATCAAAATATAAAAAATCTTATATTATTTATTTGAATATAATGAGTGTCCCCAACAAAACCAATAACATCCAACACATGATATATGATAAAAATAATACATGAATCGTCATGCTTCTTAAAATAAATAAATATATATATATATATATATATATTTAATAAATATGAGATACTTAAGATCCGCATTAACATTTGTAATTTGAGTGTGCGATGAAAAATGATGTGTACAAAAAAATAGGTACCAAGAATCTACATAATATGAGATTCTTTCTAAACTTTAAAAGATTTTGAAGTTAGATAAATATGAATAAAAAAATTAATTTCTAAAAATTAATTTCTAAATATAGCATTCTTTATTATATAAATATGAGATTTGTAGATAGATAAACATGGATAAAAAAAAATATTTAACAATTAAGTTGGCATGACCTTTTGGAAAGATTTCAAAAACTTTCAAATCTTTTATTCGTTAAATGAGTGACTGGATTTTTGTAATCTAATTCACACGTTAGACTGAAAAATTTAAGAAAATGATTGATCAATCTTTTTAGGAGCAATAATTTCAATATTCTTTCTTATTATGGGTCAGATTTACTCATTTAAGGAAATAACTACCCATATTTTTAAAAATTAAGGTTTACAAAAAAAATAAAAATAAAAATTTTCTCATGACAAATTTGTTCCTGTTAACACTTCAACTCGCATACGCAGATGCGGGAAAAAACATGGTGAAATCATGGTTTTGCTATAGCAACCGGAATGAAGGTGGGAGATAGAATGGCGTCAGGCCTTAGCCGCCTCTCCGGTTGGCAGCGCTGTTTGTCAACTTATATATATTTCTTATATACATATATCTTATTACTACATTTGTATGTAATATTTACAACTTTGGATCTATCTCATTTTTCAAAATAAATATCATTCTCATACATTTAGTTGTCCCAATTTTCCAACAATTAATTTACATACATATATGCGTGTTAATGTACATTACACGACACTATTTTTCAATCGACATAGATTTTTAACCGAAATCGATATGATTTGTCGACCCGAAACCAAAATTAGTTTATGCAGGTTATTTAGATCGGGCAACAACGAACAAAGTTAAACTTGATCAATTCGACCTTGGTCCGGACTTGAATAGGTTAACCCAATTTAACCTTGCCAGTATATATATTATTTTATTGAATCAAAATTATATATATACGTGTGGTTAATATTTATTTGAATACAATATTATGAATACATTATCATCCTTCAATTATAGCATAAACTTTCTCCAATGGCAGCCGTCTCAGCTTCTACTTTCATGACGCACTCAGCACAAACTCCATGCCAGCAAGAAAATTGTCTTCTCTCTCTTCCTTCAACTCAGTTTTCTTCACCAATAACATCACTAATCAGGCTGGATTCGGGCTCTCGGTGGCCTCTCCCAGGAGAACTAAAAGAAGGGGCTGTCCTGCAAGTGCCTCTTCGGGCTTGGGGTTCCGGAGCTCATCGTCATCACCGGCGCGGCGGCGCTCGTTTTCGAGCTGAAGAAGTTGCCTGAAGTTGGCCGTAGCGTTGGCAAGACTGTCAAGAGCTTTCAACAGGTCTTACCCTTTAATTTCCTCTTAATTCTAATATTGTGGGCTTTTCTCGATTTCGTATTTTGTTATTTCAGCTGATTAATTCTTACTTTCTTAGTTTATAAGATTTAGAGATACCCTAGTTGTTAGGTTTGTGTTTCATATAGGTAATTGACTTTGAGAATCAATTTTCTCAACCAAGGAAAAAAAATAAAAATTGAAAAATATATGTGGTGGGTCTAGGTAAGGGGATTCTTGTGCAATCAGCAGTAGCTTCACTTACCATTTCTGTTACAGAAAATCTTCTATGTGATCTTTTTATTTACAGTAAAACAAAATTTTGGCCGCACAAATTGGTAATGTAGTGATTTGGGAGATTTTTTGGAATCGTGTTTTGAAATTAAAAAAGTGGCATAGGCGGGATAATACAAAAAAATTCAAAAAATCATTCCATTAATGGTATAAAACGAAAAAATGAGCGGGAAAAACACTATACTGAAGCGGGAAAATGAAATAATTTTTTTGGAATTGTTTGAATAATTTTTCTTAACATAATAAATTACAAGGCCCATAGAAAGGACCGGAAGCAACGCAATATCCATATAATTGGCCTAGCTGTCATAAGAAGCATAAGTTAGGGCACGATGATAATTTTAATGGAGGATTTTTGTTTGCTTCTTCTTCTTTCATACATATGCACATAGACGAGTCTTCCATGTAAGTGAAAGCTTCGACCTGAGCACCATCTCTTCGCCACCGCCTGAACACCGGAGCTCCGTCCTAAATTTCGAACATAGAAGAACGACCATGCTTACGCCGGACAAGCAGCTGTGCGGCCGGAAGCTACCAGAATTTGCCACCTGGGAAACCTCTAACCACCGAGCCAACCCATGTCGTTGTGATTTTCCCGGATAACGCATCAGGAGCCCCGAGTTGCCGTAAAAATGAAGTTTCAGGCGCCCGAAGACACACAAGTCGTTTGTTTTACGAGATGAGTTGTGTCTTCTGAATGATCAAAGGCTAAACTTTCAAATTTTTCACACAACTCGTGTGAGTTATTTGACATTACACACTAGTTGAGTGGGTCTGGGCGTGACAAAATGTGTTTTACACGTTTTTTATTTTTATTTATTTTTATTTTTTTTATTTTTGACGAGTTTTTAGATTGATTTCAACTAGGACTCAACCTCAAATATTTAAGGAACATTGAGAAACATATTTTGCCGGGGGAGCTTTTCTAAGTTTTGAAGAGTGTTGGAGGCTTGGAACATGCGCAAGACGAGTGAAAAAAGCCAGCAAGAAGAGATTGACCAAGTCAAATAAACTTTTTCTTTTCTTTTCTTTTCTCTTTCGAAGTAAATGTCTTATATTTATTATCTTATTTTAGAAGCATGTTTTTATTAGGCTAATTTTATTTTAGATTCTAGGATTTGTTAGTACTCGGATTGATTTATGATCTAGTTTTGATTGCTTTTATTCCCGTTGATCTTTCGTTTGTGAATTTCTTGTCCTTATTTTTATTGTATGAGTAGATAGACACTTGTTTGTCCCATTTTTATTGTATTTTTTCCTTGTTATTTTTCATCTCTGTTTCCCCCCATGTTAGGTCTTTTAGTTGGTTTTTAGTCATTTTGTAGTTTTTCGCGTGTTTTCATCTATTTGGAGTCATTTCAGTGTTTTTGGTTTGGTTTTCTGTTTTCTCTGTTTTTCTTGTCGTTTTTGGTGTGCAGATCGGGAGTCTCTAGAGGATAGGATTTCAAGAAAACATTAGTCGGCCAAGTTTAATTAAATAGAGGAGTTCGTTGGCAACACACAAGAAAAAGCGGAATAAAATTCCGAGTCCAAACGAACCCAAACGAGCACGAGAAGTGAAGTCGTGCACATAAGCTAGCAGCTCCCCCAGGCCTCGCGCCGCGGCAGGACCTCCGCGCCGCGGCACCGTACCGTCTCTCGCCGTGCCAGCACCACGAGGCCGACTGAGAGCTTGCCCAACATTTCCCTGCGCCGCGGCACACTAACACGTCGTGGCA